TATATATATATATATATATATATATATATATGTAAGCCTATGTACATGTATATTTATATATATGTGTGTATGTGTGTAAGTGCACGACTTTAAAATTCAGGCATATTAATAGAAATAGCCCTCTAACTCCAAACCTATAAAAGCCATCCCCTAAACATTCATTGGCGCCTTGCTTCAAATAACAACTCGTTTGGTTTATTAGGATATTGAATATCCGGAATAATACATTGTTAAAAATGTCGAAACTCTTAATATTTGACAGCCATAAATTATAGAGACATCAAAGTTATTAGCAATATAAAACGAATGAATCACCAAACGTAGCGAGATGCTCAGATGCAAATGATCGTGGTCTGTTTATCATCATTAAAGGACTAGGTAAACCTAACAAGTGAGCATCGTTAGCTTTAAAGTTGTCGGTTGTATTACCAGGGGGGACAAAATGCTAGCTGACTATGCCCTATATACTTACGATAGATAATAAACTGTATATCTAGGACAATTGCATGATTATGGTTAGCGCATTGGCTTCGAAGCTGATTTAGGCCTAGGTCTTATCGAGAATCAGAATTACAGAAATGATGACGATGATGACGAAGATGATAATGATAGAATGTTAATGATGACAATATTAGTGATACAACTGATATTTATTATAAAAACCAACTATAAATAGGCCTATATAAAATTAATAAATACTTCTTTTATAAAAAGAAATTAAAAAACACTTGCATTAGTACTTGTCTCATAAAAAACTTCTGAAAAATAAGTAATATTTGTTGGATTGTTTTACAGTTTCATGTTTATTTCGGATTCACAGGGCGCCATCATTATCGTCGACATCCAATGGGATTGTAATTTGGATGAGCCTGAGGAAAATTGTGTACCGAAGTACCGGTTCACAAGATCCGATGTAGACGAGAGTGGTGCTAATGGGTTTAATTTTCGGTACGTATGAAAGGCCAACATTCTAACTTCTCAGGATTTATCGTAGGCCTATTTGTTCGAATAAATGGAACCGCTTTGAATAAACACCCCCTCTAGAACCTCCTTCAAATAAACGCCCCGATGCGTTTATTTTTTCCTCGATCGAAATTTACGCCCCTTTTTTCTAACATAATGGGATCAGGAAGACTTCATGATCACGCAATTTAACACAATTTGACGGTAATTATGTCGTGGTGTACCCCATTTAACAGTGAAATTTAGGGGCGTTTATTTCTGTATTATACGTATCCATTTTACAAAAATAATAAAAAATGAAACATCTCCCTCCAATAAAATTCCCCTCAAAACCCTTCTAAAACAATTATATACCTGTCATTGGCGTAGGGGCCGTGGGACGTGCAAAGGGATTTTTTTTCGAGATTTTTGTTTCGGAATGCTTGACCATTACCACTGGTACGTGGAATTTAAATCTAAAATTAGCTTGTCAGTGGAGTGCCGTGTTCCCCTCTTCCACATTTCTTATATTTTCTTCTCTCTTTTGTTTTTGTTTTCTTTTGTTTTTTGGGGGGTTTTTTGGGTGGGGGGAGGGGAGGAATAGTAGCTCCATTTCCCTATTGATCCACTCCTGTTGTCTATACTGTATATCTAAATGAAAAATACGTATATACTGTATAAAGACAATCAAAATATAACAACGGTATGAATTAATCGTAAAGTTAAGCATTTTGATGTACTGTACTGTTGTTACAATATGTGAGTTATTAATCATCTATGTAAATTTATGCAACATTTTAATAATAATAATAATAATAATAATAATAATAATGATAATAATGACGATGATAATGATAATGATAATAATAAGGATAATAGTAATAGTGGTGATGATGATTACAAAGACGACGACGTCGACGAAAATGACGATGATGATGATGAAGACGATGATGGTTAGGATAATGATAATGACATTGATAATACGGTAACAATGTTTCAAAACATTAATGCAAAGAAATATTATTAGTACAGTGGCTGACTAATGTATTAATATTTTTATCCTAACAGGTGGTCGTATTATTACAAGATAAATGGTACATTATACAGAACCTTGACAAAAGCATATGGAATTCTATTTAAAATAAAGATTAGCGGACAAGCGGGGAAATTTTCCGTTGTACCACTGATGTTAAACATAGGGTCCGGGCTAGCTCTTTTATCACTTGTGAGTATTATCAATAAAGCCCTGTCCAACCCATCAGGTTTAATGTGACATATCTGTTATTTTCCCATAAATGACATCATCATTGGTATGATATAACATCATATCCCAACCATATATAGGCATTGGTACTGTATTGTCACAAATATATATATAATATCTATAATATATATATTACAATATATATCATATATATAATATATCTTATATATATAAATATATATATATATAAATATATATAATAATTATTATTAATTATTATTATTATATATAATTAAAGTTATTATAAAAACGATAATGTTGGTGGCGATTATGAAGGCGACATCTGCAATAACAACAATAATAATATATTAATTTCTACATTTAATTAATCCGATGGCGGTTTTAATTAAATTATGCAGTTTAGTTTACAATGTTCACATTAATAAAAAGAAAACAAAGAATTGGTGGAGTTGGCAAAAGTCATGAATATGACTCACATTGTTTAACACGGTCCCTAACATATTTGCGTCTATAGCATCAGTTACCAATATTTCTAGAATCATTAATTTCAATTAATACTAATAGAAATTTACATAATTATGGAGAATTATAATTGTTTTGACTTGAAAAGAATTTGTGTTATTAATATGAACGATATCCAAACGAGGTTCTGAATTATCTTTCATGATTTAATTGTTTCCTATAATTGCACTCCTTTATGTTTTCATAGACAGTAATAAATCGTATATCGAAAATTTAGGTGGTTTACAAGTATCAGAATAATACTGCAATAACACATATCAAATTTATTCGGTTTATCATAAATCAAGAATATGAGAGTGAATATGGATGGGATTCTTTTAATGTTTGTGATGTATAGATCAAACAATTTAAAATTTACAAATGTCTTTTAGGTCTATTAGTGACAAATGAGGTGAATATAGGTGGTTATTGATGATAGGGAGTTTGGAAAGCGGGTAGGCCTAAGTTATAACGCATCCCTTGAATGTAGATAAACCGTATCATATCATGAATCAGGGAAATTTGATTATATTTAGTATGGCACCGATTAGCTCATGAATATTTACTCCATGTAGCGGCTTAATCGAATTTTGCATTTACCTTCCAGAGTAAAAAGCTAATATGTCTGTATATGTCTGTTTGAAAAAAAAAATCATACGCTAACACATTAGGCCTATATATGGTAGTGAGTAGGACCATAAATATGCACAAAACGACAGGCCTGGATATGCTTAGTTATCTAAGGTTAACTGGGCTGTTTTAATATCGGTACGGTGTACACAGACGGCCATTCGTGAGAGCGCGTTCCGTACTTAACCTTAAGTATTATAGGTACCTGCTATATAACTAGTCGATTATGCTTGCTTTCCATTCCTAGGGTTCACGGTTTAATTAAGTACTTTTAACTGTACAGTTAAAAGTCCTTGGTTTAATTTTTGGTAACTCTTTTTAAAGGTTTGTTTGTATTAAAACCTCTGTAAAAGAAAACCAATTTAATCTGTGTATTGATAGTTAATAACTAATATGAGCAATTTAAATCTAACTGACATATTTTTATGGATTTTTGTTTTAAAGGAAACATATACTGTTTGTGTCAAATTGATAAATTTATACTATTTGTTTGTTGTCGTACTTATATTTTTTAAGCAAAGTTGTTGGTTTTCATTTAAATATTAGAACAATAATATTATTCTTTAGCATTAAGCAGCGTTTACGTAACGCCTCTAATATAGTGTGACCACGATTACTAGTAATCACTCGTCACAGTAGCGTTGTTGCGTTTGCGTAACGCCTCTAATTTAGTGTCAACCATGATTACTATTCGTCTCAGTAACGTTGCTTGCGTTTGCGTAACGCCAGTGTCAACCATGATTACTATTCGTCACAGTAGCGTTGCTTGCGTGTGAGTAACGCGTCTAAATTAATCTAGTGTGAGCCATGATTACTAGTCGTCACAGTAGCGATGCTTTCGTTTGCCTAATAAAGCGTCTAAATTAATCTAGTGTAAATCATGATTACTAGTCGTCACAGTAGCGTTGCTTGCGTTTGGGTAACGAGTCGAAATAATCAAGTGTGAACCAAGATTATTAATCGTCACAGTTATAGCGTGGCTTCGTTTGAGTAACGCGTCTAAATTAATCTAGTGTGAACCAAGATTACTCAGTTGTCACAGTAGCGTTGCTTGCGTTTGCGTAACGCTTCTAAATTAATCTAGTATGAACCAAGATTTAATAACCGTCACAGAAGCATTGCTTGCGTTTGGGTAACGCGTCTAAATCTTGTGTGAACCATGATTACTACTCGTCACAGGAGCGTCGCTTGCGTTTGCGTAACGTATCTAAATCTAGTGTACCAAGATTACTAGTCGTCGCAGTAACGTTGCTTGCGTTTGCGTAACGCTTCTAAATTAATCTAGTGTGAACCAAGATTTAATAACCGTCACAGAAGCGTTGCTTGCGTTTGGGTAACGCGTCTAAATCTTGTGTGAACCATGATTACTACTCGTCACAGGAGCGTCGCTTGCGTTTGCGTACCGTGTCTAAATCTAGTGTACCAAGATTACTAGTCGTCGCAGTAGCGTTGCTTGAGTTTGCGTAGCACGTCTAAATTACTCCAGGGTGAACCAAACCTTATTTTCTCTCTCCCATGATTGGCTATAATAATTATTAACATATTTAAATAAAAAAAACCCATGTTTAAATAACTTTACAATTGGACAAAGAAATATACACAAATTAATGATACAAAAGTTGGATAAAAGAAGACAGATATTGACACTTAAAATTATAGCATCGACTCAGGTACACACAGATTTCATTTGATGCTAGCATAAAACTTTATTAAGCAGATTAATTTTTTTTTATTAGAAATATCACAAACTTAAGCCTATCTTTAGAACTCGGTTACTAGCTTCCTAAGAAATGTCTGAGATATCGGTAATATTTATCAAGTTAACGTTGCCATATAAAACATCACTGAATTGAATTAGTATATTCTAAAGTGGATTACTGGGGTATCTGGAATATCACTGACTTATCCATTCATCGCATACAGAACGTTATGTATCATATTCCTTAGAAATATTACATCCATCACATAAAGAATGTTACGTACCATGTTCGTTAGAAGTATTATCAATTTCAAGTATGCTAAACGGGTTACAAGGATATCAATGATAGCATTGAGAAAACTAATGTATTTTATTTCGTTTAAAGTAGATCTTACATGAACGAATTCAACAAGTCCTTCTTACACTGCGGGTACTGTACTCTAAGTGACATTCTCAACCAGTCACAGGATCGAGAGCGATGGATGTTTATACCAATAAATGCTTACTTATCCGTTGGTAAATTGTGACTGCGTGCGCAAATTAACTACCTGTATTCACCGCGCGGGATAGTAGTATCTTTAAAGCATCCGAATACCGAGTTATTTATCGTATATTTAAATTGATTATTATCACTCATGCCTAACTATCATCAACGAATCGAGTTCATACGATGTTTATAAAAAGACTGTTTAGTAGCTTGGATATTATGCTCTAATGTTTTAGGTATATGTATTGAATTGAGTAACATCATCGTTTAAATTTACGACGTAATCGTCTATGACTAAACAACGCTTGGTATTATTATTAATACATGGATTAACTGATATCAAGTTACTTATGATGTTATAACTAACACACTTGCAATAGTGCTTTCAATGGTGGTTATAATTGATAGCATAGTGGTAAAGATGATTGCCTTCTAATTCCAGGTACAGTTTCTATGAGAGCATGGACATTTTTTTTTTTACTACCAAAAACCACTCCACTCCATAAGCCTCTTCTTAAAGAGACTTTCGCTGATAAAATCATCACATTATTACATTGAATCAGCCGGTCTTCTGGGATACGCTGGAAGGGTCTCTATAAATATAATTTAAAAAAAATTGATTCTAATCAACGTTGTAAATATTTCTTGCTAAGCCTAGGAAAAGAGCGTATTCTTGGCTAAATAACATGTTCTGATTGGTCAATTGTTCCAATTTGGTTCACACTTTGAAAAGTTCCATTGTGCCTGTTAAATAATGTTCATGTATGACTGATCGAGGAATACTCCCGAGGGAGTGGAAGTTATTTCTAATAATGTGATACGCTGAGACTTAATTATAAAGTGTTACTTAAATGCAAAACATTATTATTATTATCAAGCTATTAATATTATAAATATTAGTATACGCGGGTTACCGATTTATTTAGCCTATATAAACACTTTTATGACACAAATAGGCCTACTATAGCGTAAATATCGGTGTAACGTTTAGGAAGATCAGGTGTCCACTCAATATGCAATAATTATAAAAGGATTGTATTTTATGTAGCAGTTTCGTGGAAATTCAGTTAGGAAAGAATACGAGTTGCGTGCCAAATAAATTATACTGAATGCACATTATATGTGAGTATTATGGTATACTGCAAATCGATGCCTCATTCAACAGCCATTTCATATTTTACGCAGTGGCGGTGCCGACGGGAGTGTAAATGGGAGAGTCACTGGCCACCCAAAACCTCCAAGGGATCTCTGCTCGTCCTGCACCCATTATACATTTTCCAGATTCCCTCTCGTCTGATTTACACGATCGATAAATTATACTCTATTAAATATAGTGTAAATTAGAACATTTTTCTTTCTGTTTTTATAAGCTACAGTTACATTATCGTCGTTTAATAGATGGCAAAATGTGCTTAATGTATTTTCCCTTTGTTTTCAATTAGGCTACAGTAATGTGTGATGTTGTTGTGTTATATGTACTAAAGAAACGGCATCTGTATAAAGAAGTCAAGTATCAGAATGTATCTCACAACGAAGAAGAGTGCGAAGAAATTGAGGTATGTCACAAAATTGCTCCCAATACAAACTTGTTTTTAACCAAACATAGAGGGTAGGCATAGCCTATGTTGCATGAGTAGGTTTATTAAACATTGTGCAATGCCAGAGAGTATGGGAGCACCAGGGGCCACTGTATATGTTTTATAACTTTCTTGAAACAAAATAGGTTCCGAATCTGTTTCTAAATCATGGGTCCTCTTTTCTTGCATGTATGTGTTAAAGCCTACTAAAGCCTACACGTAGGCCTAGTTTACTGCTGCTATAACAATTACGTATGCACGTATACCAATACCTGTTTGTATGTAGTAGGTACGCACCGCTATGGCACATTAATATTTACGATAACATAAATCTTGCTCGTAAAACCTACATTATCTATATACACGTATTATAATAACCTACTGCGTGTCCAAGATACACGTAAAACCTACTTAATTTACAGTACAGTTATATACACGTATAAAAACTACTTTTCTGTACGATAAACTTAAGAGTTGCAGGACAATAACTATACAAAATGACATGTTCAAGATTATAATTATTTTGATGATGATTACGATAATGATGATGATCAAGCCTAACGAAATGATGATGAAGAAGATGAGGATGATGAGTAATACGTGATGAGTAAAAATGATGATTACAATAATGATGACGATAATAAGCCTAATTCAAATGATGATGATGATAATGGTGATGATGATGATGATGATGATGATGATGATTATGATGATGATAATGATGATGCTGATGATGATGATGGTGACAACAATTATGATAATGATGATGATGATGATGTTGATGATAAGGACGATGATGAGGATGAAGAGTAATAAAAAAGGATAGGCCAACAGAATAGGTAACATAATAGTTAACAAAAACTAAAATCTCATTTTAGCCTAATGTTTTGCGATTTAAAATGTGTAGATCTATGTAAAAATTCAAGAAGCTGTAACCAAACACAAAATAAAATTATAATGATCATTAATAAAAACCTAAGGTAAGCTTTCTTCAAAACACATTTACAGTGACTCGATCTCACAACATCGATTGGCTATAATAAATACTGTTTTAAATTCTGAACATAGCTTAAAATACAAAATTAAGATGAAGAACATCTATCTTCACTAACTATAGCCTTGACTTATGTAGGCACTCAGCAACCATGAGTTAATCAAACTAGTATTCCTAATTTTAAAATATAAAATTATAGATAAATTTTCAGTAAAATGCTTTAAAACTGCAAATTATTTGTGTACAACATAGGACCTGTATTACAGTTAAGCCGGGCACTCACAGCTTCCGTCGGTCGTCGGCCGACGCGATTTGGCTTTGCCACGACGCGCGCAACGGATCGTTTTTAACGACGATTTGTCCAAACTGCCATCACAATCAACAGATGGCGTCGCGTCATTGCGCGCACAGGGAACGAAGTTGGGTTCGTCGTACGACGCAGTAAGTGCCCGGCTTAAAAGAGAATTAAAAATATACACTGCCACCCTAAGATGTTATCGATCAGTTTTCAATAATTTAGAAACGTTGCTAAAAAATCTTTAGATTTATTGCCAGATTGCAAAGATTATCGAAATGATAATTTTTTAAACGTCGAGGATTTTTTTTTTCATTCTAATATTCAATGTAAAGCGAAAAAATGTATTTACTACACACATTTAGCATATTTACTTGTCAGGGTTTTTTAAAGTTCAAGTAGGCCAATATATCAGACTTAAATGGCAGTTTATATCATTTTAAAATACCCGATGTACTACTATATTCAGCAATAGGAACGTTTATCGACAAGGGCAATTAAGTAATTGGTAGGCCACAGCAAAACCCATATGCACATTAAAGAACCGGTACCCTATTAAAAAAATCCCTGTGTGCTCAGTCCAACAGGGAAACGTATTTCGACAGAGACGTTGGTCGGTGTACAACATAGCCCATGTGCACTATTAAAAACATATTACTGTTATGCATATTATATTTATGAAAACCCCGGTGTACCACTCATTACAACCCTAGTGAATGGGGCAGCGCTACTAACACTGCGGTTTCTTGGTTGGTCAAGGTCTCGGGTAGTACCGGTACTAAGACCAATAAGATTTAATTTTGTCGGACGACGACTACATGTAGCTTGACGCGGCCATTAATTCTCAGGCCTATGGCGCGCATGCTTGTAGTTAAGTAAGTGCGTGTACAGTATAGTTGCTATAGGCCTAAGCTGAAAATCGACTGATTGGCTATGACGATAGGCGTAGTAGTTTGCGTATATGAAGTCATTATGACATCGTTGTTTTAACTGTATGGTCAGCATCTTAATTTGGATTTTATGACTGCTAACGCTCTCCATGATCGGATTTCATTAGATTAATTTCCCATGATTCTGAACTGCTGAAGGCACCGAGCAGTACGGTATGCGAATGTCTCACTACCCATTGATTTTTACCTGATTTGATATTATAAACATCCTAACTAAAATTACATATATACAGTAGATCTATTATTACAGTAGGCGAAAAAATGCATACTTAAACTAAAAGCATAATAAACGTTTATAATGATACTGTAGGTCTAACACCATATTTGTGAAACGCCTTGATTACCAAAATTGAACCCCACCCCACAACCCCTTCAGAGGCCTACCATGCATCTTAAGCTTCTTTTGAATTTTAAAGATAGACATAATTATAAAAATTAAATTGTAATTAGTGATAATTGTATATAAAAAAGTAAAATGTTTATTCGTATATTTTTGTCAGGATTCTCCCAAAATGAAAATCATACAGCCGATCTGACGTCATAACCAAATTCGAATTGCATTCACTCGTTTATGTATTTGAAAATATAAACATCAAGCACGTAAATGATTACATTACAATAGCCTAAATAGGCCTACATAAGTCTATATGTGCTGGCCACCTCCAAATATAATGTGGGGAAGCAGGTTTAGACGTTTATAAAATTTAAAGCCAAACACAACCAAAGTAAATTATTCTATGTATGTTAATTGCAAAACAGATGTTATAATTGATTCTATTTCCATAGACAAGCTATAAATAGGAAAATAATAAAGTACTGTATATTACATGGTGAGGGACAATGCGACGCGTTCACAATGTATTAACGTCTGCAGCATCATAAACGTTTTGTTAGATTCAGATTTGAAAATAATTTCCATATTGTTTATTATTAAAATTTACATTGCAGTCAACTGTTTAGCGAACAGGTGTTTATTGCAAAAACAGTGTTAAACGGTAAACCACCTAGCCAATATCTCCTTTTTTTTTAGATTTTTGCATAGTAACACAATCGCTTATGTAATCCCTCCTTATCAGGCACGGGGCTACAGAAAGACGAAGATAATAATTAAAAAAAAAATGGAAATCTGTCTATAGAAAACCTTTCGCAACATGACCACTATAAAAGATGGGTTAACGACGCCTGGCGGAGGTAACTCCTACTCCCGCTCATAAATAAATGAAAGTCATTATTAAAAACACTACATTCTTTTTGTATTTTAGTTTCTATATGTATTGATACTAGTAGAGTGGAGATATCGGGGAGATGTAGCATGCTTTCTAAGCCTAGAGTCCTGGGTTTAAATCCCGTGCCATCACAATTTTTTTTTACTACTAAAAACGCATTTCCACTAAAAAAAAACTTTTTTAAATGACTCCCTGATAAAGTTTCACGACCCTGAACATCACCCGACCTTCTAAGATACACTTGAAGGGCTACCCTCTCTATACTGGCCAGCAGGCAGATGCAGGATTTGGCGGTAGACCTGAGTGTCCACACCACCTCAGCCTGACCATGGTTGGGGCTAAGGTGCAAACATTTTGAGAATATGGACCTCCAGATGCCCGAAAATTGCACTCCCAAACCTTAAAAATCTTACCGGTAATTCATATCAACAATGCAATACAACAATTATTTTTCTTAATACAATTTAGAAGGGGGGGGGGGTGCGAATGCACCGTCTGCACGCTTCCTGCATCTGCCCCAGCTATAAACATGGTTTAAAAAAAACCTTATACTTATTCTTTATTTGTCATAAAAAAAAGATATTTTATGAAAATTAATTTCCTTGGTAAGACATCGTACTCGTGTTTTAACTATACAGCGACTATTTACAGGTACACTTAATTATAAATCAACATATTTACCTGTCAATGGAACACAACACATAAAATATTCATTGACAATGCACGTTAGATAAAAAAAGATTGTAAATAGTTATTCATGTCATTAATATACTCACGTGAACTGGCTTGCCTGAAGCTTTTGATTTAGTCTAACCTGATTACCAATGTACTGATTCATATAATTTCATTTGAAACGTACAGTAGTTACGTGACTGGTGGTATATTTGAATAGTAGGCCTATTATTACGAACCTTCAAGCATATGCACAAAAAATTATGATTATCATAGTAATTATGGGAATAATTATTCACTTTCAAATCCCATGACAATTCAGTTTTTGCGTGATTCAATCTTTCGGGTGCCAATGTTTAAACCCCGTTCCTTTTAAAAGGTGTTATTTTCTACAGTTATTAGGATATATAAACACACATCAAAGTGGAATCCCATTATTTGACGTCATATACATGTTATGTCCACCTCAACTATTATATACACTGAAAAATGTAAACATGCTGAGCTACATCTTCAGACGTAGCGAGTAGCAAAGGCGAACTCATTGACCATCATGACGTAGGCCTAGGTATCGCGTGCGCGTATGGCTTGAACTTTTTAACCAATAGTTGCCGTACGCTCTGTAAGTTATTACAACACTGGGAAAGTGATACACTCAGTGTACTGTGGAATTATTTGAAGTGCCACCTAAATAATATAAACTTGAAAATAAAAAAAAATGAATTGCTTACTTTAAATAATTCGCTTGGTTATTTTCTTGTAAGTGAATATTATCACTCATTCTACCATTCTATAAAAATCTTTGTATAACCCGTAATTATTTTTAAAAACAAATCTTAGTACAGTATTTTCATAATAAAATGAAGCTGATTTCTTTTTTAATCCTAATACTTGCTGACAATTGATAACGTAATGCATTTGAATAAGCAACTCATTTTTGGAAAGTTTCTTGTATGCGTGGCATTATACCTTTATGAACCTTGGGAAGTGGTGTACGTAAGGCGTCCCCCTCCCCCACCTCCGAGGCTAAATGAGCCATTAGTGATTAATTTTGTTATGGTGTTAAAGACCATAAAATATTTTCCAATGACAAGATAAAATTGTATATTTCAAAAATGATCCTAAACTGAAAAATAGATCTCATAAGTATTATTTAATACTGTATATTAGTATATTAGTATACCTATCTAATACTAGTGTATATTATTTCTCTATCATTTTATCTCCAGTCAATACGAAAATACATATCAGCATTCGACACTTAGAAAGTCTACAGGTTAGTTTACACTTAACGAATGAATCTGTAACTAGTTTGGCATCTCACCATTTACGCATCACATTTTTTTTTTCAAAATTTGCACTCTAACATTTTAAAAAGCATATTTCTATCAACATTAGTTTTCCGTTTTAGTTTAAGCGTGTTAGGAACCTTGATTTTATGTTATGATATTCCGATAACATTATGTGATTGTTAATTCCTCTCATTCTGTAATTTTGTAGGGCGCTAACTCATAACACTCAACGAGAAATTATGCTCGGATACATAAACATAACTCACACAATCACGCATTTATTTAGTTGCTTTTTAATTCACATTTCATTCCCTAAGCCAATCTACCGCACGTCAAATAATGTGTTTTGAATGTTAGCAATTATAAAAAATGATGTAGTTTACTTAAAATAAAAATTCCGCTCGTACAAAATGTGTTCAACATGATGAGTTATGACCAATATACTAAATGTGTAGGCATATTGCGTTGAAGCAGCGATACCACCACTTAACCAAGAGTGAAAAGTGTATAAAATATGAATAAAGTTTTAGAATTATAAAACTTTATTCACATTCACTATTTACTTTTACATATAACTTGGTTGAGCAATAGGTAGTACAGATCTCTTATTGCTATCAAACGTTAGCGTTTGGCATGACGTATGAATTTAATCTGTTTTATTTATGGTTGTTTTCCTTCAGATTCAAAAGATGTCGGCCAACCACAAAGGATTGGAATCAAACGATATTTTACTAACCTAATGTAGGCCTATAGCTGTACAGTCAATCACTTGCAGACTGGGTTTGGAAGTTTGTGTTGGATGCCGAACTAGATATAAAAATATCGAATTTTGGAAAACAAAATACGACATTGTTGTAGTAAAATACAGTAAACAGGGCATAAACAGTAGTACTGAATTAAAGTACATCAAGCCCAGAATGCAATGCTTCAATTGACATCCTTGAAGATGTGATTTTAAGAAATATATATCAAAAATAAATCCAACCCTAGCATGTATAAAACGGCAACAGTTGTTCTGGAAACAGAATAGAAAGCAATACAATGGATATCAACTTATACAGTTTCTTTTAAGCTGTAGAACATTTTACGAGTATTAAATGTAAGTTTGAAAATGTAAATCACATTTAAGCTGCTAGATGGAACATGTTAATTGATCCAACTGATCTTGGCACAATCTTGCTTTAGTAAACAGACGGGTTTCGCCCTCTTTCGAGGATTTGTAGACATCGGTTTATATAAAAATGAAATCAGATCAATACGCCGCGTTGATCAGAAGCGCAGTACTTTTTTGACGATGTATCCAGACATGATTGATGGAGATTTCAATTACTGACATGACGAGTTGCAGGCAATAGCGGTTTACAAATTCACACTTACTGCTAATGTTGCTGAATACAGCCGAATGTGACTACCAAACGCGGGTTATCACTCGCCTCAAGATATCATCGTACCAGATCATCCATTACACTGATTACTTGTATTTTAATCCAAAACAAGTAATAAATACACATCTAGATGTGTATAAGAGACAGGCTAGACAACTGCAATAGAGAGTCTATAATTTTTATTTGTGTTAAAGAATATAGTTATTATAATAAATATAAAGAACAGGAAATGACGTACTTTTGCTGGGCGAAACAGATGTCAAATGTTCTTCAGCTTGTGTGTTTTCGTGACATTCTGTTTATGTTGTCACAAATTTTGTATCGTCTACGGTTCCATTTGTTGATTTTTTGTCATAATGTACTCTGTTTTGTGAAAAGCTAGTAGAAATGACCAACACCATGGTGGTATAGTAATAAAAATAACCCTAAAAACGTATGTGTATTTTGCGCTGTCCTAAAGAATTTAGGCTGGCTTTATATGTCAATAATGACTAAAACTTTGATAAGGAGTTGTTCATAAAACCGGTGATGTTGAAGTATTTGTGGGTAATACATTGATTTATTGAATATAGAAAAATAGCAACCAATGTCTCCATGAGTATGTAATTCAACGTCAATATCTCATCCTCGTTAAAAAAAAAAAAAAAAAGTACCGTACCATTATAACTAAGCCGGGCACACAATGACGCTCGAACGTCCGACTCTCAGACGAAGCTGTCTCCGCTCTTTGTTAAGGTGGCTCACACGTTGTGATTTTGCTGACGATAAGCTGCGCTACGATACGACTGCAACATTTGGAACACGATCGTACGCTTCCATTTGAATATCCGAGTCATGTCGTATACATAATGCCTCTCTCACCTTGTCTTAACTTCCGCGCACCAGATTTAAGGCCATTTTCTACTAGACGAATTTATTCGCGCGTATCGAAAATTTTCGCTTATGTATAGCGCAGTTAAATTTTCATTTCAAGATTCTCAATTGCGCATGCGTATGGGTAAACATTTTCGATTCGCGCGAATAAATTCGCCTTAGTTGGTTTTCCACTGGGCGAATTTATTCGCGCGAATCGAAAGCGTTGGTTCATGCGCATGCGCGTTCACACTCCTATCGGAGTTTTTGCGATGCGAAAAAATGCGCAACCAATCAGAACTTAGGAAGCGAACCGACGCTCTGATTTGCGCGAAGAAATTCGCCTAGCTTTAGACTGAGCGTGTTGTTAGCGCAGCTTGGCGTAAGCAAAACCGCAATGTGCGTAAGGTCTCGTCGATGCGACGATTGCTGCTGATTGTCGGTACCAGTCTGAGCGGATCGCCATTAAAATGATCCGTTGCGCGCACGTCGTCGCGTACACGTTCTCTCGGGTCGATCAACGACCGTGGGACGCAGGGTGTGTCCGGTTCTACATTCGGATTTCTCTCGGTCGTCACTAGATTGGAACTTTTAGATCTTAATCTATCTTGTCTTTGTTTCATAACAGCGGAGATATCATCTCCAATCGATATAGGCCTACTCATTCACATACCTACTTTGCAAGGATTACAAACTTTTTTTTCAATTTTTATCGAGGTTTTAAATTCTTCCCATGGCAACGATTACTTAAAAGCAATTTATACTTTCAGACATTCATAAACATTACTTGATCGGTCACACTCTACCATGATTAAGATATTTCTGCGATTTTAGATAGACCTATCGACTTTAATTTACGAATGATTTACTTCGGTCAAGTATTCGTCAATATTAGCATAATTCAAAGATGCGCTTAATTAGTGAATATCTGTCAATCATGATAGATAGCCCATGCACCAAATGAAAGTACTGTTACAACGACCATATTAAGATTAATACGCCGTACGGTTGTTTTTGTCTTTTTTCTTCTTTTTTTTTCGTTTTTGTTTTGTATTTTTATTTTGTTATTTTTTTTAACCAAAGCTTGACTGTATCGATCCAGCAAAAGAATAAAACAACATGTAAACCAAGGGAATGTTCTCTTTATAACGAATTAAAGATGATTTGGGCTGCTCGCATTAATGACTAATATCCAGACAATCATATTTATCCACTGCATCGACGTCCATACTTATTAATCAGCACTTAAATTATCGTAACAATCTGAGACCTAAGTATGATTAAATGCGCTCATATTCCGCCTAATTGCTTCCCACGAAAAGTGCTGAATTTATCCACTCTTAACCGCCCGCTATGCGTGGGGACATTAAACAGTTTATAAACAGGTACGCGTGTTTCCTTACCTCCGATATTGGTGGATTTTGATTGAAACCGATAACCGCCCGGCATATAGCTGTAATATTAATTATACGATTAATTACAATTGATTGATGACGCGCTACATGCTTGGATCATGGATGATAGGTCATCCATATAGCTCCTATGATCATTAAAGATCTGCGAGGTGCTACATTTGAATGTATTGCCGTAAACTAGGTACTATTGTAGAAGTGTACAGACCCATTCTATATTTATTCCAATGTTGTTTAGTACGTAGTTAAGTATAGGAAAATAATAATATTATTTTTTTTAGCAATTGTGCAATGTTCATTTTTCATATATGAAATTATTGGTAAGTTTTTACTGAAAAGGTTTACAGTTTAAAATTATATGAACTTGAACCTATTTGGAAATTGCCAAAAATGATTAACTAAAAACAGAATTACATTACTTGCAATGCATCCATTAAATTATTACTAAACAGATGAGCTTCCTTCTGTAAATGGTGCATATTATTTCTTCATTTTAATGTTTGTGCATTTTTAGCACTTGTATAAACCTAAAGAAAAATCACAGTTTAATTATTGATCGTTGAAAACAGATACGACGGCTTGAAATAATAACTAAAAATATCCAGAATACCATTCGACAAAATGATCGATTAGTGAATCTATTAAATACATTATATATAATCGATTAGGCCTACATATAAGTCTATAGTTATGACGCTCTAATGCCTTATCGATTTGAAATCGGTTGTTGATGAAAAATTGTAAACTTATAAAAGTTTAGCCCTTTTTTTGCGTTGAATATACTGCTGTAAATTTATACAAAACTTGAAGGAACTGTATTTCTTTGTGAAATACTATTTTTGTATGTAGGAACTAAGCATTATTTTAAAGTTCTTCACAATATTAAAAACTGTCATGTACACGAGGGTTTTTTTTGTATCATAGGTCTACTGTTTGATGTAATACTTATTTATTACCATAGGAAACATGCAGATGTAAAAAAAAAAAACTATATAAACATAGGCATAAATTGTAAATTATGAATCATTGTGTTATATTTATGATGAAGAATGTAGTTTATTAACCTATGGAACCATGTCACATTGCGTTTGCATGTTTTAAAAGTTGTGTCCTGACATAACTAAAGGCATAGCCGATAACCCGTCAGATAGGATGACTGATGAATGAATAACGACGATATTCTGTACATATGTATAGAGGTAATGGTTTTGAAGAAAAGGTATAAAATGCAATCACTAGTATTACATACCGCTATTGACCTTCTCTAAGAGTAAAGTTGAATTTTGAATCATGCGTTCGTGATTCGAATGGTAAGCTTTATTAGCTGCTGCAAATGCTTAATTCGGCTCTATTTCAACAAGTAAATCAGCAAATCATTTTTAGGGCAATATCGTTATTCGTTAATTGAATAATGATAGTTAGAATAGGGGAGTTTTAGGATATCTACCGATATCTAATTTGCATAATACAACGCAAAGTTTTCAAAAATGTCAAAATGATAATCTATTAAGGCCGACTCAAACTGTGTCAATCGACGGTCGTCTGAACGTCAGCGACGATCTCCTCTTGCTCTGCGAGAGCGTGATTGCCACCACCGTCGATTGTCACCTGAGCGTATCGGGTTTTTTTTTAATGATCCATTTTGCGACAAGTTGCTGTCTGAATAGAGTCCAGCCACCTTGTGGAAGAATTATTCAAAATTATGGAGCAATAATAGGCCAATTCAATAGAAAAAACAAAACCCAAAATGGCATTCGACAGCAAGTAATTAATAATAAAATAACAAATGTGTGATGTGTTCATAAGCATATGACTTTCATAATTATGACAACTATTACCAATATTTTCAAGTTCTCTTGTAGATTAGAAAGGTGCACAAATTATATTGTGAAGTTCTGTCCACACTATAAAGTGTTTTATGTGTCGGGGTGGTGCCGGGGGGGGGGTGCCAGGGAATTCTTCCTTCCCCCCCCCCCACCACTCCGCCAGGAAGAAAAACTACAATTCGTCGGGGAGAAAAAAAATCTATATGCATTTGTAACTATTAGTAGACTCTATCTATAAAACCCCTAAATTGTCATATTTTTCGGGGGACTGCTTTCAAAACATGTTGAGCGACGCCAGACCACGCCCATTTTGCTTTCGTCTAGAACATCGCCCCCCACTCCCCCACCGTCGGGCAAATTTTGGTGCCACCTCTGTTATGTGTGTGAATAATATCTGTGATTTGCCGATATTATGTATGTTATGAGTTATTACCATGGCTATATACCGGCAGATCACACTGTGACATAAAACGTAATGATGTGAACAGAACTTAAGACATATATATTTTGTTATACTTTAAAGTTGAGATTTAAGACTTTGTTTTCCAAATCTGGAAATCTGAGAAATCTCCAAATGTTTTGAAAGCTATATCAGTATGCTTCAGGTTATGAGGTTAGGGTATGAAAAAAAAAATCGTAGACTAATAACTATATTACTCGAATGTGAAATTAGATTAGTTATTCCAAGTTTTAAAATATGTTAAAGGCTGAAATACAAAATGAGAGACACACGAGATGTATTCCAAATTGTTGAAATCGAAGAGAAGGGGAAAGTAGGTATAGTGCTTAAACTATCGCCAACTAATTGCCAGAAAAATTGAACGTCAAAACTCCCATTGGAATGTTATTGTTGTAATTACAACTAGTAACATAATACGAGGTGACGCGTTTAACCGAAGCTTTGACATATTGTCGACTGAATCTTACATTACAAAGCACATCACGAAGTCTACTCAGAAACCGTACTTAATTTTTGAAATTCGATGATTTCTCAATATAGTAACTCTCATAATATTGTAATAGAGGTTGAAAATTC